TATCTACCAACTTCGGACTGCACCAAAGCCGGTCATCTCACTACCCCTAATAAAAGGCCAAGATGGTCAAGTAAGGTTCTAGGTCATTAGTGCTTAGTGACATCACTCAGCGGCCCCGTACTCTCCTTGATTGAACTCAAGGGTTACCGGTACTCACAAATATGTCGCACTAATATAGTTATTGCTTCAACCGTGTCGGTATACCCCGCACAGTTTCCACAACGTATTGCTATCTATGAATGTTTCCCAAATCCGGGTGTAGAATTTCAAGCCCAAACAAGAGAACCACAAAGGTAAAGCAAACAAAGCAAACAATTAATCATGCAAGAGGGTGATCTAAAAACCCTAAGGTAACGCCACTTTTTTTTTCAAAAATCCCCAGCAGAGTCGCCAGTTCTGTGATACGGTGGGAGAACTGACTTGAGGTTTTTCGTTCGTATTCGCACTTGTTCGGTTTAGCAAGAGTCGCCACCGACTTTTTATTTTATCCTAAAGGAAAGGTTTAAAAAAGCACAGGAAAAACCTTTTTGAGATGTTTCGTGGGTTCGGGGGGTAGATTATGAAAAGGGAAGGTATTAGCACCCTTTTCATCCATGGTTATCCATGGGCTCTTAGTTGCTTGGTTTTTAGATCACTTGCCTTGATTTTTTTGATTGCTTGAAAATGGTGTGTGTATGTGTGTTTTGAAAACGTTTTTGAAATAGACGCCTTTGTTTCGGAAACCATTGTAATGACTCGTGTTTGAGTATATACAACGGTGTGTATCTTTTCGAAAAGATGTTTCAAAATGTTTTTGGAAGTTTGTTTTGAAAGTGTTTGTGAAATGTGGTTTGAAAAGGAGGCAAGTATTTTTGCAAGTTGATTTCAAGTAACTAAGAGTTTTGTCTACCCCTATTGTACTCAAAGGTTTTCTCTATGTTTTCAACCCCTTTTTAACAATTTTGTTCCACCATTGAATTTGGTGAACAATCTTGCGTTTAGGATATGATCGGGACAGGTGCGGGTCATCGTATGGGCCATGGATGCAATGGTGCCAAGTGTCTTTGGCAATTTTTCTTGAAGGGACTTGATCATTTTGATAGGCAACTTTCAAAAGCGTCATCGAGGGACTTATGATCATTTGAATTGTTTTGCCAAAGAAACTCGACGTGCAAGCACGACCCATTTTGGAAGGCAACATGTGGGATTACCCTAGGGGGTGCAAGTGTGATTGTGTATTGATTTCATGCATTTGTCTTTGTATTAGGTTATCTAGCGTTTGATTTTATGTACATACAAACCCTAGGTCTAACCATGGTATAATTCGAAAGCGATAAATTGCGGGAATTTTAAAGTCTACGCTATTACAAAATAGTATCCGGGAGTGGGGGTACAAATTTGCAAATAGGGATGGGACTTAAATAATTACAACCAAATCGAATTGCGATCAAATGTAATATGTATCATGTATAGCAATGTACAAGAATAGCAAATGTAGATGTAAATGCGTTAATGCAATTGTGTAAGTGTATGTATTATGAAGCTTATTTACAAGTGTTGAGAATATTTAACTTAAGGGGAAAATTAAGTATTGTTAATTTAATGAAAAGAATTGAATATTTTATTTATTTAATTTTTGTATTCTTGTACAAGATATTTTAAGAAAAAAAAGGAAAGAGTGTTTTAAGTCTTAGTTATATTATGTAATATTGTTTTATGTACAAATAAAATATTTTAATAAGAGAAAAGAAAATGTTTTAAGAAAAAGTACTTAACTTTAAAAAGTCTATTTTTATTATGTATTAACACTCATGTATTTTTTATTAATATGTATAAGCAAGAAAATTTTAATAAAGGAAAATGTTTTAAGTAGTTAATGCTTGTATATTTTCTAAAACACAACAATTAATAATATTTTGAGAAAAAAGAAAAAAAGAAAAGGTGTTATTTTATTTAACATAAAAGAAATATTAGATATTAGTATAAACTAGATTAATAAGTAAAATAAATTTTAATAAAATGATAAAAAAGATTAGTTGTGTTAAAACAAAAGAAATGGGCTAAGGGGTTTTTGGGCCCAAGTAAAATGGATCAAAAGAATTAAAAGAAAGGGGGTGCCAGTTGGAACTCGTTTGGGCTTAAGGGAAATGAAGAGGGTTGAGGCCCACTGCTTTGAGACAAATGTTTTAGGGTTCTTTGGTTTTGTTCATTTTGGAAACGGCTTAGGGTTTGTGAACAACGCAGAGGCGCCGTTCTTCTTCGCTTCGTTCGTTCCTCTTCATCTTCTTCCATGTAAAGTCCACAGAAACACGACCCTCCGCCTAGAGCCACCGCGCCATCGTCCATATCCCCTTCTCTTCCATGGGTCATTCAAGGGTGGTTCATGCGAGGTAACATTTTCGCCTCAGTCTCGTTAGAGTTTTATATCTTGCACGTTATGATTTTGTGATTATTGATTCTGATTTTAGCTTTATTATTGTTGTTTTCTGTTGAGGTGTGAAGAGAAGGAACAATTGTATTACCTTCGTTGGGAGGAGGATAGTGGCTCTGGAGGCGCTGTGGCGGCTCGACGGCGAGGGTTTGATGATGCAGCTAGCTTGCTTGGATTCTTGGTATTCTGTATTGCTCTTCTTTGCTTGTTGGTTCGATGATGACACTTGAGAACTTCTTCTATCTGCCTGGATCTGTATAACTGTACTCTTTTTCTCTTCTTCTGTTTAGCCTTGCCTTTGCCTATGTACGCTTCTTTATCCTCTTCTTCTTGCTGCCTTTGTTGCCTAGCTTGATGTGTATGGTTGCCTGTTGCTTCTTTATCCTCTTCTCTTTCACTTTCTTCAGTTGCCTTGTGTGCTTGGGTATGATGTTTGGACTTTGAATGTGGTTGCCTTCGTTTGTATGCTAGCTTTGATGGTTTTTGCCCAGTGATGAACCTTAGGTTCTGAGGGCCTGAATGTTTGACTTTGAGTTGCCTCTTAGGGATTATGAGATGATGATTTCTTTCCCAATGATGAGCCCTAAGTTCTGAGGGCTTTGGGGGATTCTGTATGTGTTCGAATGTTTAGGCTATGGCGTTGGTGGGATGTTTGACAAAGTTTTGACAGGTTAGGACAAAGGCTTTGAGGTGCTGTTTTTGTTTTGAATGGTAAGGCTTTTTGGGTTTATTGACAGGGTGGGAATGTTTGTAATGCAAGCTTACAGTGGTTTAGGCCTGTATGCTTGTATCCAGGTTTAAAGGCTTGATGAGGCTTGCTTCAGGCTTCAGGCTTGATGACTGATGCAGTTTTGTGTTTTTGTGAACTGGTTTGGAGGTTTGGAGGGCTTGGAGGTTTCAGCAGCTTGACAGTTTTGTGTTTTTGTTAAGGCTTTGTGAGGCTGGACAGTTTGTGGTTATCGTTTGACAGGTTCAGGCTTGTATGTTTTGAGCTTGTTGAATGCTGGGGCCTTTGACAAGTGAAGGCTTTGGTGTTATATGCCCCAAAAAAGGGTTCAGGGTTTGAATCCGGTTTGAAGGTTTAATTGTGGAAAGATAATTCTGTTTCTTTTTATTGACAATTTTTGTTTGCATTCTGATTTCTTCATATCTCTGCCTTCTGTCCCACTGTTTTATTGCAGTTTTACATATATTGTCCTCATGCCTAAACCTGTAAGCCCATTCTTTTCCTCTCTTCTTCTCTCTCTAGTACAGTTAAAACATTAAATAATTTTTATGTTTGTACTCCTTTCTGAAAAGGCACTGCTGGAAAATGATGCATTTGACTATGCTTGCAATATTGGTTTTTTAACCTGCATACTTTCTTTCTTCAGCTTTCCTGCATCTTTGTGACAGTATGGAGTAGCCTTTGTATCTTGACATCCTTCCATATTTTGGACAGTTTGACAGCTTTTTTGACTTAGTTGCTTTGGTTAGGTGATTCAGTTTGCCTTTGGATTTATACTTGCACATGCTGTTTATTTTGAACTATGCAGGTTTTGAATTTGACAGTTTGTATTTGTGCATTTTACAACTTTGTGCATTTCATGTTTAGCAAGCAATATTCATCCCTCTTTGTGAACCGGGAGAAATCTCGTGATTTGCAGAGAGGGCTAACTGATTCCAGCCAGTTGCCTTTAATGATGAATTCTGAATTAACTGTCTGTCTCTTTAATTTTAATTTATCTGCTTCTGACTTTTTCTTCTTTTCTTTGCAGATAAAAAAGTCAAATGGAGAGGAATAGCAACAAATGGAGGATGAAGAATTGAAGACCTAGGAATTTAGGATAGTTTTATTTAAATTTAAATTACTGTAACATTATTATTGTAAGTATTTTGTAAACAATAACAATTATACAAATAATTTTAAAGATAAATAAAAAAGAGTCCTTTTAACCAATTAATTCTTTTTATTTCCAATTGTTTATTTTATTGTTTATAATTCTTTAAATTATAATAATTGAAAATAAATTCCAACCATTTAACTTAGAATAAATAAATAATTAAATAAACATTGTGGTTTTAGCATCGATCAGTTAATAAACCTGGCGCTTCAAAAATCTAAAGCAATGCACGGTCAATCAAACCAGACGACAGTTAATCAAACAACACGTCCACATGCCTCCTTTCACTGATTGAATCCAAACAAATGCAAATTAACAATCAGCAGCCTCAGTTCTTATTTCAGAGTAACTTGAAAAGCATTGATAGAACTAACTCTTCTTGAGAAATATGCGCACAAAACCCCGATTCTTGATTTAAATGCCAAAGAAACGTTCGCCTGATCAAAGTTGAGCCAAAATCAACCAAACCCTAAACAAACTGTTTGAATTGTTCCAGAGCCATGAAAATCAATGAAAAACCCTAATTTTGTCTGACTGACGAGAAAAGTCTGTTTGACCGATTCTTGAGCCAGTCTAAAAAATCAGGAAAAGCCTGAAGCTGTGGTTTCTTGTGGAAAAATACGAGGGCAAATTTTGGGGTACAACAATCCTATTTTTGTAAAATATTCTCAAGTCCAAGATCTAGGTTTAATAGTTTTTCTGTTACCTTAATCTCCAGCTACAACATTAGGATCATTGGATGTGACCAATTTTGAAGCTTCTCCAATCTTTCTTTTCTTATTAGCATTTTCTTCATCATTGTTTGTTTTATTACTTTGTACCAATGGAGGTGGAGCTTCAGTTGTTTCACCCTATAAAATACACATGAAAAAATAAATTTTTGAACATTAACTATAATATTACACCATTGTAACAGTAACCAACATTTCTAAAGATAAAAATCTCTACTTAAAATTAATTTTTGATACCTGAATAAGGTTGTTAACAATATCAGATTGAGTAATAGGACCAGTTTGGCTCATTCCTGTAAAAATAGATCAAACTTAAAATTAGAACAAAGTATAAACAACTAGTTGTAGAAAAAGCTAATAAAAATATATTATGAAAAAATTATGAAACAAAATATGAAAAACTAACAAAGAACAGTCCTTGAAGAAATTATGAAAAATTAACTAAAATGTGTTACTGTTATAACCAAGTAACCAACATGAAACGATTTCACATAAGAAAACTAATGAAAATAATTTTTAGTAAGCTACTGTTATAAAATTGAGAACATAAGTAAATTAATTTTAAATAAGCTTTCAACAACACAAATTAGAACAGCTTTACAAAAGGCTAAAAATTTGAATAGCTTTAGAAAATCTGATCGAACAAAACTACAAAGTACAAAAAAGATAAAATCAAACAAATTAAGAAGCTTGCTTACTGATAGTATAATTCAGAAAACTAATTGAGATGAATATCTATTTAGCATTATTGAATTTCTTACTTGCGATATTGAATTTCTTGCGGTTACAACAATGAATAGCATTCATTGTATTTAATTTTAAGATAATTTAGAATCTGAATTGGGAAATTATAGGAATGATTGAGATTCTCTAGAGAAATTAGTGTTGGCTAACATAATTAATTTGGGAGGATGGCTAGAAATGATTCGATATTAATTTATTTTAAATAATAAATGACAAGTAAATGGAAGTAATACCGATTCGGTTTGGACCGGTTCGGTTCTCATGAAGCCAACCGTAAACCGAACCGAACCGGTCGATTATGCTACATGGTGATCCAAATACATCCAAAAAAATTTGATTTTTTTTAGATTTCGGTTTTTTCGGTTCGATTTTTAAATTTTTTTTAGATCGGATTGAATCTGAACACCCCTAATCTTTACACACATAATCTGCCAACAACAAATTAGACAAAACAGTTTCACAGTCTTCACGGTCTTCATGATATCTTTTGAGAGACAACTAAATTTACAACAATTAAGAGCACAAATTTCCTTTTTAGAATAAATTTTGATCTTCATTTAAACCCAAGATATTATTTCATGTCTCATTATTATGGAGTGCTAAAGTCAAAATACAAATTATACTTTGTTATTGCTTAATGCTTATGTTCCATTTTACGTTTAATTAAAAAATACAAACAAAAATCAAAAGAGGTTGTATTTGACATAAGATTTTAGAGGTTGTATTTGACATAAGATTTTAGAGGTTGAAACACGAGTTCTCATTGCATGTAAATGTAATTAGGTACAGGACTACAGGTAAAATATACAAAAGAATAACTGAAACCCACACCAGCCTATAGACACAGACGCAGCAACATAGCATGAGAGTCATTCCATCATAATTCTGAATTCATCAAAACTAAGCACACCATCCCCATTCAAATCAAACCTCCCAATCATCAACTTACATTCATCAATGGACTTTGAAGAATCTCCCAATTTATTCAACATTCTCTTCAAACTCTTTGGAGTTATGAACCCACACCCTTCAATATCATACATTTCAAATGCTTCCTTCAAATCCTTCAACTTCTCATCCTCGCTCACTGATTCCATTAGGGTTATCAAATCCTCCAAACTCAATAAACCATCACCGTCAGAATCCAATGACTCAATTGCAATTTCTGCTTCTTTCAATTCAAACTCTCCACTGATCTTCCTCATTCTACTCCTTAACTCGCTCAGCGAAATCTTTCCGTCACCGTCTTCATCAAAGTAACTAAGAACACGCTCGAATTCCATCATGTTCCTCCTCATGTTAATTATATATTCTTCACAAAAACCTTATAACTGGAATAAGTTAATACAATTTGAAAGTATGAATTGTATTTCAATTATAACAAAGTAATATACTAGAATGGAATAGATTAACACGAAACGAGCAAGTATATATATGGTACTATCTTGGAATATGATTATGCACAGAAATATTGGATGAAACAATGGAGTATTTATATTATGTGATTTGTGATGAATGCGTGTTAATTAATTCGTGGAATGGAAAATTCAAGTTTGATTGTGATTGCTGCGAGTCTTCGAGGAAGAGAAAAACAATATAAAAGTCACCGCGTGTGTAGTATTTTTTTGTTTTGCATTTTGAAGGAAGACCGAAAAAATGGATAAGTTCGGGACATTTTCAAATGAGTTAGAAATAACCTATATTATCGGTCAAATGGAACGTGAGTTAGTTATTTAGTTATTTAGTTTATTTTCGTAATCGCAAATGGCACGATTGCCCAATGATTATCCATACGCGTCGTGCCACCTCAGTCAGATGGTGGATACACTGCCATCCTTTGTCGGCACAGTTGTTTATTTATCCGTATTGAAAAGGTGTGTTGTGGCAGTTGTGCATTGAAATGATCTATTATTTTGGGTACATATTTCATTTGTTCATTATTTAATTTCAAAAAATTAGTACATCAATTTGAAAAATTTAAAAACAAGTTATATTTTGAAAAATGGATGTATTTGTTTTTTTTATTTTTTATTTCGTACTAGAATAGATAAAACTTTTAAAATTCATGACATCAGAAATCTTGTTGACTCGAGAGAGTAGGGTATTCGGGTGGACGTGCTCTTCAAGCTTGCAAGCACCAAATTATCCAGGATAAATCATTTCTTCATTTAAAAAATTCTGAAAGGTTCGAGAATCGAAGCTCTAGAGGACTTGGCGATGACGGTGGACGACATCATGAAATTTTCTTGGATATCGCCTATTGTAGTATTCTTAAGTTAAGGAACGCTCCCCGCTGATCTAACTAAGGCTTCCATCGTGTAAAGGAGGGTCAGTTTCTACTCCTTGATATAAGAAGCGTTGTACATAAGAGGCTTGTCGATCACTTTGACTTAACGCGTGGAGGTGGGAGAAGCTGCATACGTCCTCGTGGAAGTGCATAAAGGAATAATGGGTTAACATGTGAGCACCCGAGCTTTAGCTAAAAAGGTTCTCAATGCCAACGCTACGAGGACGTTCACAAATCTCCTCCATCAGAATTTAATATATTAGCGTCCTCTCAGCCTTTCTCGCAGTGGATCATGGACATCATTGTCGGACATGTGACTCCACACTCAAAAGAGGGATTGAGTATTTCAGAAAAATTTGATTTTAAAAATTTTTAAGGATCAATTTTTAAGTTAAAATTTTTTTTTAGAAAAGTTTTAGGAATAAGCAACGGAAAATAAAATACAAAAATTAAAGAGTTGAGGGATAGAGAGTTAACGCCGGAAGTTATAGAGGTTCGGTCAAAAAAAACCTAATCTTATCCCCCAACATTTGTTCTTGAGAGTATCCAATAAACTTAAGAGCTTTTAGTAGGTTGAACTCTCGAACTCCCTTATACTAGGAAAATGAAATTTATGGTTAACTTCCAACTAAGCTGCGAACAATGAGCGGTTAGTCTTCTTTGTAAACAACAACTTGGAGAAAAATATTTTAGCGAGAGTGTGAGGAGTGAGGTATAAGAACTCACGATTCTAGATGTGAAAATATGGGGTATAAAAAAGGAAGGAACTTCTATTTATAGGCTAGAGGTTGGCACAAAATTTGAAACTGTTTGGGGCAAAAATTGATGAGCCAATGAATTGGCAATGCACCAATCGATTGATTGGCCTAAAATTAATCGATTAGAAAGTTTTAAAAGGTGAGACAATGTATAAAGTTGTTACTATTCATTAAGATATTTTCCTAGAAGTTTAGGGCGTATTTTTACACTAACCCAATCGATTGGGTAAAGTATAAATTGATTAACCAGTATGAAAAAATGCCCAGAACTTTTCAGACAACTCCGAATTCGTCTGACATGACTTCAAGACATTTTAGAAATATTTTATTGATAAAATTAAGTTATAAAACTTATTTTAGTGTGTGTATGATTAGCTGTATAATTTTACGAGAAATCCCTTTTTCTTTTATAATATGTTGTTCACTCAGCCACATTAGGGAAAACTTTCACACTTCAAAACTCGTCAGATACTTCAATCTCATAGACACTTGCTTGAACTTTAATTGGAGATAAGGCTTGAGTTTTGTTCCATTTGATGCCATCATAAGAGAATCAAACTTATCAAACCCTATTGAACCACTTTCATCTTTAATTCTTTATACTTGATTCTAGTTATTATCATCAAGGACTAGTTCTCATCATCAAAAGAAAATTCATCTTCAAGAGATCTTCCTTCATCGGTAACCTGCAAAACATTGTTCCAAAATCAATGGTTCCTTCCCTTGGGTGTTAGACTAGCTCAAATATATAATTGTGACAGTGGATTACTTTACGAAATGGATCTAAGCATGAGCCTTGGAAGAAATCACATCAACTAATATCTTGAAACCTTTTTAAGAGGAACATCCTAGATAGATAAATAATCCCTCAAGCCCATGTAACGGACAATGGAACGCAGTTCGCGATTAAGAATCTGAAGAAACTGTTGGGAGACCTGAAATATAACAACATTTCACACTAGTAGAATATTCTTAAACAAATAGCCAAGCCGAAGCAGCAAATAAGATGTTGTTAAGAGGGTCGAAATGAATACTTGAAGCGCTTAAGGGTAATAGGGCATACGAGCTCCCGCATGTCATTTAGGCATATCAATCCATGCCATATCCAACAACCAATGATAACCCTTTTCGACTAACCTATGGGGATGAAGTCAGCCTCCTAGTTGAAGTAGAAGAGATTAGTTGAATAATGACACATCCCTTATTTGAAGAAGACAACTCTTAGGCAATCAGAGAAAAGTTCAACCTCCAATAAGAAATAAGAGCAGTTTCCACCTTCATGAGTGTTGCCACTAATCAAGTTACCACAACCAAATTCAATAAATGAGTCTGTCCACTAGAATTTCAACCCAAAGACATTGTGTGGAGACGACCCGTCTTTGGAGGAAATATTGGCATAGATGGGAAGCTCTCCGCCAAGTGAGAAGGACCATATAGGGTCAAAAATAGCATGCGGAACATAGCCTAAACTCTAGAAACTTTTACCAGAGATATTTTAGCTAGGTATCATTAAAGTTACCACAAGATGGAATGATTAATTATCATCTCATGTATTATATTTCATATAAATGATATTATGATTTTTTTCTAAAATTATGTAAACAATATATTCTCTAATAACCACCTTCTCTGAGTTTATCTTTGCTCGGGGAACCTGAACGAACACAACACCTCCAACTGGTTAGTGACATTATTGAAAGCTTTATAAACTTCCTCGAGACCTTCGTCAATGATGTGGAACCTTGTTTTGCAGGTAATAGACCTTTAATTCAAACATTAGCTTTTGATGATGACAACTAAGAACAACCAATGATAAGTCAAGTATAACAATTAAACGCCTAAATATGCAAACCTAAGTGTCGTGGTTTGATGAACTTGACTATTCGAAGAACGCAAACAAAATAGAAATTATCTAAAGCCTCAAGTAATCTCAAGCAGTGTAAACACAAAAGATAGTATCTGACAAAGGGCTTGTAAAAAAGGTGTTAAACTCCTAATTTAGTAAGTGAGTGTACTTA